ACGACCAAGAAGGGTAAAGGAATAGCATTACTACTATATATGTTGACCTCTATCCTCCACAGACAGGCAGACCTGCAAAAATGCTCAACCATTCCTCATATCTGAGAAGGCACTCCCAATGAAGCCTCTCGAAATACTTAGCTTTCTTCCCCCCCAATAATACCTATGCAAACCAACCACACCAGAGCAAGAGTATCCCATATCATGCTTTTTCCCTGTCTTTTCCTTTGCCCTTGTTCTTACCTACAAGACAAGGAGAAAGAGAGCAATCAGTCAGCACTTGGAATCAAGCTTCCAGTTAGGAACTGACTGCCTGGAACCCCTTGCCTGATTACTTACCTGGCATTGCTCTCGAGTACTCATCTTCAACATCTTATGCTTCCAGAAAAGATACCACATCTGCCTGAGGAACAGATAGGGCAAGTGAGAAGGATACAAGGAAGCATGTGGAGACAAGCGCAACTGAACACGTGCCGATTCATCTATTACTTCGTCAACAGCAAACGTATCCCATATCATCAAGGTTGAACGCACTCTTGATTTGATGGACTTGCTTTGACCCTCAAATTCTTGAGTCGGCCTTATACTCTGGAAGAAACCAGAAAACCCTCCAGCCCAGTTCAAGAATAAGCTTGTGGAAAGTTACTTCTTCAAAAGCAAAATCCATTTGTTTCTCCTTATCCTTGTTGCTGTTTACGACACAAAGAGAGGGAGAACAATCAACCAGAAGCCGAAGTCGAACCTCCGATCCAGGTTGCTCGCTTGGAAGTTTGATTGCTTACCTTGTCTGTTACCTCCTTCGGCAAATCTCCTAGCTTGGCGACTTAGGGGACTCCTACTATAGGGTTTGTATCGTACTTGACCAAGCCCGAAACTACAAGTAAGCTTGAAGTGAAATTGATACATTACCTTGTGCATCTTCATCGGTTAAAGATACCACCCCTGGATGGAGGAAAAGTACTTCCAGAAAAGATACCACATCCACATATGAGACAGATAAGGCAAGTGAAAATGATACCACACTTCAGTACTTAAAAGTTTCGTGATTACTCAATGGCTTGGATCTTGCAAGTCCCCAACCGAGAAGCTTCCCTCACTCGGGAACTTAGGGGAGCACTATTTGTACCATACTTGACCAACCCCGAAACTACTAAGCACCAGTCAACATTATACCGCCAAGGACCCACAAGAGTCTCCCTCCAACCAGGAGGCCAATCACAACGCAACACATGTCAACATCAGAGGCCAATCATAACACGATACGTGTCGACATCAGAGGCCAATCACAGCACGGCACGTGTCAATGTCGGAATGAAACTAGAAACTCTCTTCTATAAATAGAGATCATTCTCTCACAATATTTCCTAATGTCATTTGTACTAAATCATACACTAGTACTCACTAAAGGAGAGCTTGAACCTATGTACTTGTGTAAACCCTTCACAATTAATGAGAACTCCTCTACTTCGTGGACATAGCCAATCTGGGTGAACCACGTACATCTTGTGTTTGCTTCCCTGTCACTACCCATTTGCATACTTATCCACACTAGTGACCGGAGCAATCTAGCGAAGGTCACAAACTTAACACTTTCTGTTGTACCAAAGTTCTCACTAATTTTGTGCATCAACACATGTAGAATTCTATCCCAAACCACCATGTGAAACTCTCAATGGCGATTTCCTTCTTGAGTGACAAGGTTCGAAGGGGGCGCAGGCAATGATGAATCCCCATAACCCTAAAAGTTAGAAAACTTTAGGGTGGACATACCTAACGACCTCACGGAAGTTTAGGTCCATTACGATATCGCTCGGAGTTCGACTAGTGACGGGGCCTCTCAAATTCGAAATCCACCTCAAAAACAAAATATCCACTCCCAGCCATTGTGCAAACAAAACGAATATTACAAAAGAGGGCAAAAAGTTGCAAGTCGAACCACTTAAGATTGAGAATCATTGTGCCACATATCGGGTGTAATTAAAACCACTCCCCTTGGTGAGCGAAAACACAATTCCAAATTATAGCGATCCAACCTATCTACTTAAAGTCAATGCATTCCGCATGAAACACGAGTTCGAATTATGGCAATCCGACCTCTCTATCCGGAGTCAACTAAAATTATTCACTCCAAATATATGGGGGCAAAGAGATATAATCGAAATTCTACAAGAAGAAAAACCCAAAATGGACAACACAAAGTAAAGCAAAGCTATATTACTTCAACAAAAAATCAAAATATTACTAAGAATCACGAGGAAACCGCATGCAAAAGCCGAGCCCTGACTTACAAAAAAAAAAGGATGTTTGTAGTTACTGAAAACAGAAAAGCGAACAAAAAGACAGAAATAATAAAGCAGCATAGATTCACAACATGATACTTCAACATTCACGACGGAGGAGCAGCAGAGCGAGCAGACACTATAGAATCATGAGAAGGAGATCCCTGGGGACTCGCGGAAGAGAAACCAGAAACTTCCTTTATTGGCTTAGTCTTTCCTTCAAGTCATGAATGACATCGTGAACCTCCTCCTCCTCCTCGCAGACTCTTCTGGTCTCCACCACCAGTTGTCTCAGAAACTTTTACACTCAGCTAAATTTGGTAGTCTTAACCATGAGTTCCTCCTCTAACTGCGCAATTCGGGCCACCATAAGTCTCATTTTGGCTTGCCAAAGCTGCTTTAGCTGAATCCAAGTTTGCCTGCACTTTGCTCGTGGCCGCCTCAACCTCCTTCCTCTGGAGTCGCAACTCGTACAAGGAACCTTCAAATGAAGACCTGACTTGCTAAACTTGAGCACACTTATTCTTAATGCATCGGTCTTTGCTACTCTGCTCGTGTGCTTCTCCTCAGGTGTTGGTAGCCATTAAAGTGCTTTTAGCATTGTTTGGTAGGATGATAAGAGCGCTCACTATGAGGGTGGCTTGCTCACCCCCTTTTTCTATTGATCCAAGTGTTTCATTGGTTTGTTCTCTTGGTGGTGATGGTGGCCTTGCGATGGAGGTGCATTTGGTGGCTGCTGGTTTCCATTCCAATCTTAGAGATTTTTTGTTGTTGTTGTTCAACTAAACACTTTTGGGGCTTTCTATTGTATTTTCTTGTTTGTTGTTGGGCTGTATTTTGGTTATGGGTTACCTTTTAGGCTATCTTTTCATTGTACTACTTTTTTTGTTTAATGAAAGTAATTTAGTTTGACAAAAAAAAATAAAATCCTTTTGTGAAAGATCAAACCTTTTATTGCATTTATATTCCTTTAGGAAAAAAAATAAAAGAAAATTGTAGCATTGATCCCTCAACTTGAACCCAATTGGAGCAATAGTCTCTCAACTAAAAATTCATGACTCATGATCCCTTAACTCCTCAAAAGGTGCAACTATGATCATTTTCGTCAACTCCTTCAGAACTTCCGTCAAAACAAATCGTGTTGGAAGAATCATTACTCCAATTGGTTTAAAGTTAAGAGACCATTACTCCAATTAAGTTAAAGTTAAGGGACCAGTTCTACAATTTTTTCATTTAGTTTCCAATATTTTCCCCTTGATTCTAACCACGTGACTTATTTTAACAGAAGTTTTAAAAGAGTTGATGAAAATGACCATAACTATACATTTTCATAAGTTAAGTGGTCAATGATCATAAATTTTTAGTTGAGGAAACATTACTCTAATTGAATTAAAGTTACAAGATTATTGTTATAATTTTTTTTTAAATAAAAAAGAATATATGTACGATGCAATTTTTGGCATTGTAGACATTTAATTAGTAAAAAGGTGGGGCATATTACTTTGTCCCGTCAAACAATCGTGAAGTAAAAGTGACATAAAATTTGTTTATTGAATAATTAATTTAAATTTATTGAGACGCAACAAGTAAGCATATGCATGGTTGCTCAAAAAGCCTGCATATATCTACAAAAAGACGAGCAGGGAAAAAGGGCGTGTTCCACTTTATCATATGCTTGTCCTTTACCTAAGACTACAATAGTAACATTCCATCTATATTATAAACTAACCAAATTTAATTAATATATTCACATATGTTGTACTAGTTTATACTAAAATAATTAATATTTTAAAGGATCTAAGAATAATTAAATATATTCACATGCTTGTCCAAAACAGAGCTCCTTATCTTTTTAATTCTCTTTTGTAGAATAATTAGGAGGACAAAAGAAAACACGAGATGTCAGCATCTTCTTTGTAAAGGTATGTGTGCGATCAGAAAGTTGATTCATTCAATATTTCTTCCAAGACAATCTTTTTCTTTTTAGGGGTTTAGGTAAACCAATACAAGTTGGACCTATATGCACTATATATATATATATATATATATATATATATATATTACACATTTGTTTTTCATTAAGTTTTGGAGAGGGCGACACATATAATGATAAGTAGAACAGAATATGAGGTTATATTTGTACGTTATATGATGTGTCAACAATAAAAAATAAACACGCTAATAAATATTTAACAAATTTAATCTACAAGTTTAGCTTTTGTATCTTACCCAGATACAAAATTCATGGGTAGAGCTTTTGTTGTAGTTTTTTATCTCCTACTTTCTCGTAGATGACAAAAGCAAAAGGATAACCAAAATAGGTTAAAAGCAAAGCTTAACTAACCCCATTTAAAGTACGCTCCATCCCTATATAGAAGACTAGGCCACGCTCTTTGTAGTACTTTTCCTTGATTAAATTACCAAATAGCATGCGTGTTTACATGCTTACCATGAACCGTGGCTTAAGAACAAAGGAACTTTGGGCCACTGGAATTGCTATGTTTTTAAAAAAAAAAAAATTAATTATGATGTACTTTAAGAATAATCAGTTGTAAAGTAAAGTAGAGGAGTACTTAGTTAACTGTATTTTAAAACTGTTGTGAGTATGAAAAGCAATGTAAAAGCATTTGGTAAATTTTAATGTAAACAGATATAATTATATACAATGTAATAATGCACATAGTAATAGGAGTGGTGGTGACGAGAGCAGTGGCAAGGACAATGGTGAATGGTGATGGTGGTGGTTGCGGTGGTGGTGATGGTGGCAGCAATGGTGGAGTTATAGTGGTGGTGCTAATAGAGGGATGTGGTGGTTGGGTGTAGAGGTAACAATGGTGGTAGGGCGATGGTTGCATTGGTGGTGGTGATGGATGTGGTTGCAGTGGTGGCAATTGCAGTTTGGTGGTGGTGGTGGTGACGGTGGCGGCAATGATGGTGGCAACAATGGTGGTAGTGGCGGTTATGGTTGTGGTGGTAGTGGTGGCGATTGCAGTTATGGTGGTGGTGATGACGGTGATGGTGGTGACAATAGTGGTAATGGCAGTTGTGGTTGTGATTGTGGTGACAGTGGTGAAAGTTGTGGTTATGGTGGTGATGGTGGTGGTGGCAACAATGATGGTGATAGGTGATAGCAGTCACTTTAATCTCTATGAGATAATGTGTGTGGAAGGATAAATAATGTCATTCAAAAAAAAATTAATGAAGGTATTATAACAATTGAAAATATTCACTAAAAGTTCAACTATTTTTTTTAACCTACACGTTGCTTTTAAAAATTATTGTATAATGACTATTGCTTTTAAAATATGCAGGATATTTTACTTTTATTAAATATTTTATATTACTTAAATTTAAAGTTAAGCAATCTTTTGTAATAAAAAAAATAAAAAAAATAAAAAGCCAAACAAGACTTTAATGATACCTCTTTGTTTGGCTTTTAAAAAAAGGACTTTTAAGGTGTAAAGCAAAAGCATGGGAATTTCGTGGGAAAGAATAAAGTTAAGCACCGGCCTATTGAAAGGTTGGGTGTTATGGAAATTTGGGTTGTTGAGGGTCCAATCGATTCGTTTGATCTTTTAAGAAAATGAAAAACAAGAGAAAAATTGCGGACAATCATCAGTTCATTTCAGTATAAGACTTTTAATTTTTGAGCTTAAAAATATTATCAAAATGAATCATAATAATGATCAGTTTGTCTCTATTTCTCTTAATTCCTCGGCCTTTCTTTTATCTTCAACACAAAAACAACAAAAATTAGAAAGAAACTTTTATCCTGTATAATTTACAAAGAGAATTTAGATCTTAAAATCGTTATGTATCTTGACCTAGAAAAAAGGATACTAGTCGAATCACTAATCAAAAGATTCAAAACTAATCTCAAAGAGTCGGAAAGATGTGGACAAGTTCCATATCCATTCTTGGATGCCTCTACAGTCTGGCAATGACCCGCCGACAGGGTATTGGCCTCGCCCGTTCTAGAAAGGGAAAGAGATCCTCTTCTGATCTTTCTCTCCAAAATCCATGAATCAAGTAATCCGGACCTCTAAAATTTGATCCAACGATAAAAAATTATTCTAGTTTTTAAAAGTTTTTACTAACGTCTCTTTTTAATCGTTGGATTAAATTTTAGAGATCCGAATTACTTGCTTCCTGAGCTTTGAAGAGAAAGATTCGGGAAGGATCTCTTTTCCCTAGAAAAGCACCTGCTGAGTCATTGCTGACCGCTTCTGATTCATTAATTTTTGACCTACTTTACTTAATAGCTAACAATTTCTAACATGCGTGCATGTGCATGCATGCATGCATTTGAGATGGAGTATTAGGACAAGTTGCAATATTTGACAAAGTGTAGGGTCAGCGAAAAAAAAAAATCTCAAATGCATACACAATCGCTCTCAGCCGAAGGTCCAACGAGAAAACGCGTTGTGCACAATCAAGTAGCCTACCTAGAGAATGACATGTATTAATGCGTTCCCAAATTCCAAACTCCGAAATGCTAATCAAAAGACTTGGTAAAAGTCTCTTCGACGGTTAATTTAGTAAACAATATACAAGACCTTTTGTTTTCTTTGGTCAAGGATTCTCAGGACATTTACATGTGATATGGTCTAAAGGTTTATGCTGATTCTTTACCTTTACAGTAACTGGAAAGGAAAAAAAATGAAACCCATGAAGCGGTTGGGATGAAGTTTCGGTAAACAAATTAAAATATGAAGGAATGAGCTTATTTAAGTGTTTATGCTTCTCTTTATAGGCTACACTAGAGCTAAATATCAAGATAAAATAGGTACTGTACAATGTATTGTATAATTTTCATTATACTAGCAATTGTACACATGCAATACATGTGCTTATTAAATTTAAAAAAAAAATTTAAAAAAAGAGAAAACATAAAGGAAAACTAATGAAAATGGCTTCAAAACTTTGAATTTTAACTAAAAGTCGTCTAATAATTTTATTTAATGATAAGGACAAGAGGGAAAAAAAAAAAAACACTTATCAAAAGCGCGTGCAGTCTCCTTTGCCACTGCATCTTTCGGCTGCTTCTTTTTCCAATACTCATCAATTGCCAGAAGCAACTCTAATCATGGCTACTCCAATATCTATTTTACAACCTCTATATATTTGTACTATATATATACATACACACCCTACTACATATTATATATTATAGACATATGAAGCACTGAAGAGTACCTTGTACAACTTTATTTACCAAGCCACTACCTACAATTTTGATTTATATGATGCACCCTTGAGACAAATGTGATGTTCCCAACAATTTCCATCCACAAAACCGTTGGAGCGTGAGATGCTTCGGAAATTGTATGGTAATCAAAATTGAGGGTTTTTAAGTCCACATAGATATTGAAATGATTGAAGACTTGAGATGCTTCTAAATTGAAGGACATGAAGTGGGGGTATGATCTGGGCTCATATCAATGGGTGTATTCGAATTTATTGATTTCATTTGCATTATTTTTTTTATTTTACAAAGGGAGAAGGTGAGATTGTAGGTGGAGGAGAAGAGGAAGCCGTAGATGGGCAGACAATAGAAGAAAATTAAGTAATTGGTGTAGAAAGTTAAGATATTGAAGAGATACAAAGAAAATTTGAAGAGTATCGAAGAAAATTAGAAGAAGAAAATGTGTTTGGAAGGTGAGAATTTGCCAAGAAAATTCAAGAAGAGGAGAGAGAAGAATGCAGTATCGTTAAGTTTCATAAATAGTGTAGTACCGTTAAGTTTCATAAACAGTGTAACACCGTTAAGTTTTATAAACAGTGTAGTACCGTTAAGTTTCATAACCAGTGTATCAAGTTTCATAAATAATGTAGTACCGTCAAGTTTCATAAACAATGTAGTACCGTTAAGTTTCATAAATAGTGTAGTAAGTTTCATAAACAGAGTTGTAAGTTTCATAAATAGTGTATTAAGTTTGATAAACAGTGTAGTACCGCTAAGTTTGATAAACAGTGTAGAAAGTTTCATAACAGTTTGTGTGAGGACGTGCTTGTCTGTGGGTCAGTTTTTTTTTTTTTTTTTTATTTTGTTAATATTAAAATTATGTCTTTTTCATTAAAATTTAAGGTCTTTTGTCATTTTTATTAAAATTTAAGAGTTTTTCATTAAAATTTTACTCTTTTTCATTAAATAAAGTAATAGCATAGTTTTTTTTATTAAAATAAACTTAGCGCAAACCCTTTTCATGAATGTTCCCAATATAAAATGGTTGCTAAAACTTTTTGATGACAACTTTCAAATAATTTTTCGTCGCTGAAGAAGTTGTTCCTATCTTTAATGATTGTTTCTATATAATTATTGTGCTATTAAAAGTTTATTTATTTGGGAGAAAAATGTTGAAATGAAAATGGAGGCAATTAAGCTGGATGTGAGGCTTTAAAAAAATAGTAAAATTATTTTGTGTTTAATTACTAAATTGCCTATAACTTTTATTTTGGTTATTTTTCTTAAGATTTGTTCACAAGGTTAATTTGGCCTTTTCACTTTTTTTTATTGACATAAATTTTGTTAATAGGTAGTTTATTATGTTACATGTTCTTAAAAATAATACAGCATATCAGCGCCATGTAGTTGTTAAAAACCAATACAATCAGCTCTAGTGGACTCGGGTTAAAAATAGGAAGAGCTTGACAACAAGGATTAACTGGTTCAACCCTCAAAACTAGGTTCGCATATGTCGGACCATTGGGTGGTCTACTCTTTGGAAGGTGCTCTTTATCATTTCTTTGGTCTGGATGATTTGCTCTAAGAGGTCAACGTGTTTCTCTGGAGTAAAGTGTTATTATGGGAACGGAGGAGGTTTCTCCACCTCGTTTCTTTCTCCAATATTGACCAGAATGGCACCCATTTTTTCCTCCATGCTGGCAAGTATGGCCTTCTCTTCTCATTTTCTCCGTTTGCTACCCTCTAGGGGCCACTGGACAGAGCCCTCACTCTCATTCTCTTACTCATCATGATACTTGAGGGAGTGTGTATGACTGCTTGTCACTGGGCGTACTTAGGATTGCTTGTTAGAAAACACAACCAAATTGTGTGCGATTCTGCTAGACGGCGGCAACTGTTAACTCTCAAATTTTGGGAGCTTAACAAAGACATGTACGGTCGGCCTTTGGTGGGCTCGGGGTAAAAATAACAAGAACTTGACAACAAGGATTGTGTTTCACCCCTAAAAATTAGGCTACATCCACTAAGGTGCTTGTATACATTGAATAAAGGTTACAAGAAGTGCTCAATATAGTATACTCTCCCTTTTCTCTCTTGTGTCTGACATGTTATAAGAGTTACTCATCCGTCTTATATAAGCCCTCAGGGAGCTCCAAAAGTCTATGGGCACGAGTACTGTACCGCTCTCGCATTTAATGCACAAAGCGCATAAACATGACTTGTTAGCTAATCTTATATCATTTAGTTGACTCGTGTTAATGGAGTGTTGTTTGTTCAGGTTTGAATGCATGTTTTCATCAGCCAACGCGTACTGAGCGCCTTGTGTGACTTGGGGTGTTAGGAAACCCATGTCTGAGTGCTTAATTTTAGAGCCTTTGTATCCCTTCATAGGCTTCTACTCATGTTGATGACCAAGATGTAGTTTAGTGTTGGTCTCCAAGTAGGCCTGCCCCTAGGGCTTCGTGTAATAAAGTTGTCGGTATGCCAACTTTCGCCAACGGTTGGAAAGTACTTTATGATGAGGTGTTTAGCTTCTTTGTTGGCAGGCAAACCGGACCGTGAGCTGTTGTTTGTAGCACTTGGAGTTGCCCTTTCTAGTTCGATTAGGTTTTGTTTTTCCTTTCCTTCATTAAGCCTATGTCTTCCTTTATTCCTTTGGATTGTCTTTGAGCCTTTATTGGCCTTTCTTAGGCCTATACTATTTTAGATGTCGAAAAGGACCTTGCATTAACACCCTCAACTACTATTTTTTATTAAAACCACTATTTCATCAAACTGCTTATGCAGAAGTAAATTGTGAGAACTTTACATACTGTATAAAATTATAAATGAAGCAAATACCAATTTAAAAGAAAATTTTACTAGTGATTGACACAAATATAGAGTTTTAGAAACTATTGTTGTTTAATTATGGGGGTTGTTACATGTCAATTTCACGTTCGA